AAAAAAAAAAAAAAAATATTTGGTTTAGTCCAATTGACTAGTCTTTTCATTTACAGTTAATGCTTTTTTATCTTGTTTATGAAATCTTTCACTTTCCCAAGATCTAAAAGATAATCATTTTTACTATTTACTAAATGTTGTTAATGGTGAGCCTCTGACAGTTAGATCTTAATCAGTCTAGAGTTAATTTTTATGTGGCATGAGGTTAGGAATGCAATTTCATTTTCCCCCATATGGGAAATTGTTTCTCTAGATCCATTTATTGAGTAGTCCCTCCTTTTCCCACTGGGCCTCTCTGCTGCTTCTGTCATTTTTCAAAGTTCATACATACATTTCTGAGCTCTTAATTCTGTTTTTTGTTTTGACAGTTTATCTTAAATCTATGCCTACATCGTACTGCCTTGTGTATAATCATCATAATTCTAATTCCTCAAAGGGCAAGACTCCCTTCTTTTTTCTTCTTTGGAACTAGCCTGGTCTGTTTGTTCTTTTATGTAAATTCCATGATCAGTTTGTCAATATCCTTGAAAAACTCTGTTGGGATTTTATTTGAGGTTGTGTTGAATTTATAGATGAATTTAAGGACGACGTTATATTACTAACCTCCCTTTTTATAGAGATCTTCATTAATGTGGTAAATTTATAATTCTCCTCATCTCAGTGGTATTTGTTTGGCGTCTGTTCACCTAGTCTTTACTCAGACGAAGTAGACGCAGTATGCCCACCCAGTAGTTTCTCACCGTCCCCCACTATCCCACAGCCCAGAATCCTGAGTTTTTTTTCTTTCCTCAGTCCCTGTCTGCCTCTCCATCCTCATCTCCACCATCCTCTCGTCCACTTCACTTTGCCTGGCATTCGGAATTCTCTGAAGACACCGCATGTTGTAGTTTCTCTCCTCATTCCTCCATCAGAGAATCCCTCCTCTCCTTTAGAAATAAGCTCCCACAGCACCTTTTCCAGGTAGCCTCCACTGGCCTCTCGCCGTCTCCCATGTGGCTCAGGCTCAGTGTCCCTTCCCTGTGCTGCCATACCATGTTGGGGCACAGTCGTTACATACGGTGTAGTCGTTACTCGGCCCACCCGCCGCCATTCTGGAGGGTGAGGAGTCTTCTCCGCTCCAGATTCTCTACACCCTGCCCCAGCTTTTCTTCCTGGGTTGCCTTTTAAAGATGTCAAGAGTCCAAGGATTAGTGAAGAAAGAAACTGTAAACTTGGGCTGAATAGATACATAAATGCCACAGGAATTAGAGGGGTTATTTTCATCTTCATTCTACCACTCGGATGGTGATTTTGTTGGTTCTGTGTTGACATGACTAATAGACACATTTCTGTATTGGATTCCCTTCAGGTGAAAAAGCAAAACCTGAGACCACAGAACTTACTGCTTCTCAGCTGGCCTTCACTGAGGAAGCCCCTTTTGAGGAACAAGTGACCCAGGGAGTCCCAAGGGATTCCAGGTTGGGGCAAGCAAGGGATCAGGAAAAGCTATCAGAAATGCAGGAAGGGAACTTGAGGCCAGGAGCAGACCCCCACAAGGAGACATGCCCTAGGAAGTTGACCCATAAACATGATGATTTGGAGGCAGATGATCGTTTGTGTTTAACGGTTTTGCAGGAGCGAGTCACTACCCAAGGTGATCTCCGTGAACATGAACAAGGACCAGGAAAAGACCCTGTGATAGATGCAAGGAATAACCTGTATAAGTGCAAAGACTGTGGGAAAAGGTTTAGCAAGAATTGGGCCCTGGGTCGGCATCAGCAGATTCATGCTGGAGTGAAGCCCTATAAATGCAGCGAATGTGGGAAAGCCTGTCGTTATATGGCAGACTTCATTCGACATATGAGGTTGCATACTGGGGAAAAACCGTACAAGTGCATTGAGTGTGGGAAGGCCTTCAAACGCAGGTCTCACCTCACAGAGCACCAGCGCATTCACACTGGAGATAAGCCCTATGAGTGCAAAGAATGCGGTAAAACTTTCACCCACCGCTCTTCTTTTAACCAACATAATATGACCCATGCTAGGGAAAAGCCCTTTTTGTGCAAGGAATGCGGCAAAGCTTTTTACTACAGCTCTTCCTTTGCTCAACACATGAGGATTCACACTGGAAAGAAACTCTACAAGTGCAGTGAATGTGGAAAGGCCTTCACTCACCGTTCCACTTTTATCCAGCATAATATGACCCACACAGGAGAAAAACCCTTTTTGTGCAAAGAATGTGGAAAAGCTTTTTGCCTCAGCTCATCCTTCACTCAACACATGAGGATTCACACTGGAGAGAAACCCTTTGAGTGCAACGAATGTGGAAAGGCCTTCACTCACCGCTCCACTTTTATCCGGCACAAGAGGACTCATACTGGGGAGAAGCCCTTTGAATGCAAGGAATGTGGGAAAGCCTTTTGTGACAGCTCTTCCTTAATTCAACACATGAGGATTCACACTGGCGAGAGGCCCTATAAGTGCAGTGACTGTGGAAAAGCCTTTACACACCACTCTGTTTTTATCCGACATAATAGGACCCACAGTGGAGAAAAACCCTTGGAGTGTAAAGAATGTGCGAAAGCCTTTTACTACAGCTCTTCCTTTACTCGACACATGAGGATTCACACTGGCGAGAAGCCCTATGTATGCAGAGAATGTGGGAAGGCCTTTACCCAACCTGCGAACTTTGTTCGTCATAATAGGATCCACACTGGAGAAAAACCGTATGAATGCAAAGACTGTAAGAAGGCTTTCTGTGACAACTTTGCCTTAACTCAACACATGAGAACTCACACTGGAGAGAAACCCTTTGAATGTAGTGAATGTGGAAAAACCTTCAGCCACAGTTCATCCTTCACTCACCATCGAAAAATTCATACCAGAGTTTAAAGGCCTCTGCAGGTTGTTTACATCTGTCAATTTTAGTGAACTCATACTGATGAAATACCTTTTCTTTTGAATGTAACTTTTCAGGAAAACCTTTTGGCCAGAGAAATATCTTGCTCATTATCTGATAATTCATACTGAAGAGAAACATAATTACCATCTGTGTGAAAGCTTTTTGTGGCAGGTCATCTCAAGGGTCATATTAGAAATTGACCCAGCATAGACCCTTACACTACCCCTGGGAATCATCCACAAGTGAGGCCCAGTGGTTATGCATTTAGAAAATATGTCAGCAAGAATTCTTCTTATATTTATACTATAAAACCATCTCAAGAGTATTTTAGAAGTACAATGAGAGGTGGAGGAGGAGATGTAGAAGAGAAAGGGAAAGGAAATGTGAGTGTATGGCTTCTTTCCAATTTCCCTGCCAAGCTTGTGATAATTTGTCATTACGGTTGGGGCAGGGGATGGTGGGGGTATGAGAGATAAAAAGACCTCATTCCCTTTATGTGTGTGTGTGTGTTTAAGATTTATTTGAGAGAGCACGAGAGGGAACACGAGTGGGGGAGAGGGAGAAGCAGGCTCCCCGCTTAGCAGGCAGCCCCGTGTGTGGCTGAATCCTAGGACCCTGGGATCATGACCTGAGCCGAAGTCAGACACTTAACTGGCTGAGCCACCCAGGCGTCCCATGTGTCTTTTATATATCTGTCGTCAGGAGAGTTGGACCATTGAAGGCAGCATGCTGCCAAAATTTTTTGAAAATACTCCTTATTCTAAAACATTGTCATTTTTACCCTTGGGGAGCATAAATGTTTGAGAGAGATTCAGAGGCCCAAGTCATAAAATACTTAACACACATACACATACACACTCATATATTTAGTCAATTCTTGTTATTCATCGTAGTTGTATTCTGTAAATCCATCACAAACATTGAATTAATGACTACTGAACCATTGCTTCTAAGGGAAATGTAAACTTATGTTCGTCTGAGCCTCTGTTCACATTTTCATCTACCAATCAATGCATGACCTATTATGGATTTTTGTTCTGTTTAAAGGCATCTGAATTTAATATATGTTTCTTAGAAATAAATTATATGCAGTATTAAAATAAAACTATTTCTGTTACATCATTTTGTATAGTGTATTCTATTTTTACTGTACTACTTTAAGTCAGTCATACAAACAATACACAGTTTAGTACTCACACATTAAATAAACAGTAAACAGTACAGTAATGTGAACACCTACACTGCTATATTGTACAGTCATGCAAAGAAAGTGCAGAAAAAGTTAAAATTAATCAAAGATTAACATTAAGTACAACTAGTTTTGAGAGAGCTGTGGGATGTGTGGTGGGGCAGTGCACTCTGGCTAAACCTCTTGACCTTGGCTTACCCCAAGAAAACCAAAGTAGTTGATGGTACTTATTTCAAGCCGCTTGAAAAATAGCAGGAGGCTGCATTCAACAATAGGGTCACATTCTTCCATGTCATTGCAAATTCTTCCGAGGCAGAATTCCATTCTGATATGGCTGCTGTGAGAGGGACATTTCAGTGGTGGCCGGGTTTTCATCACCATCCTCATCTCCACTGACTTCAGTGCCTTGTTTTGCTCTCTCTTCTGGGTCTTTGTGGATTCTACCCCCTTTTCTGCCCAAATTTCTTCCACATCTTCCCGCATGTCACTGAGGCTTTTTCCACTTATTTGCCATGTGATATGCATTATGTGTTTGCCATTGGCCTTTATATTTTCTGTGACACCTTCAAAGCCTTTGAACTTTTTTGGGCAGTCTGGCCATTTTTGCAGATGTTACTGATAGTAGTCTCCTTGATACCTCCCCAGGCTGTGCACCAAAGTCCCCGACCGTGGCCATAGTGACCGACTGCCAGTCGTCCGTCGTGCCGGTTTCCTTGTTGGTGTTGTATTGCTTTACTGTAAAGTTCCCTCGTGGTGTTCACCATGAAAGCTTTATTATGTCCTGATGGCCAGGTTAGGTGACAGACCTAGCGTTTAGGGGCATGAAAAGAACACCTAGGTTGGGATGGGCATTTGCAAGTTCTTCATGGCAATGGACTGGGGCAATACTCAAAATCAATACGACCTTGGAGGCAAGGTTTTTGGCCCGGAGATAGCAGTCAGCTTCTTGGATGGGCAGTGGTAGAAGCTTAATCCCAGAATGTTTCTGACATCTCATATGTCAGATGTCAAACTCCTGAACCGGAGTTTCCTTTTAAGTTCTTGTGGATTTGGGGTTCCGTACATCTTTAGGGGTTTGGACTTAAAGTCAGTCGCTGTTAGTATTGACACACAATAGCAAGATTGCATGATATTTGAATAATTTGAAGAGGGGATTTGGAGGCCATTTGCATTATATGTGTTCATTTGTCAATAGCCTAGGAAAACAAGCCAGTCTCGTTGGCACTGAAACCTGCTCTTACACCTAACACTTTCCCTGTATTAATATTTAGCAGGTATTTAAAAAATTATTCCATAGCCTCCTGATCTGCAGGAACGGCCTTATCTGCACACTGCTCATACTGTATTGTCTCTTGAAATGTGCAAGCCAGCTAACTAGCTGATCAGGGTTTAACATTTTCCCTATCTGGGTAACAGGACTCTTAAATTTTGGCTTTCAGCCTCAGAACAATGCCTTCCTATACTTTTTTATTGATCTTCATCTCACGAATCCACAACTGGAGCTGCTTTTCCATCTTTTTCATAGCTTCACCACACACTCTAAAAGATACTTTTAACACTTTCTGGAGTGGCTTCATGTACAGATCAGTGCATTTCTTCTTCCTACTTGAGCATGTGCCATATTGTTGATTCATTCACATCGAACTCCGAGTCAACAGCAGTACAACTCCTGACCGAAGGCAGCCCATCTAACACATGTATATTCTTTAAGGTCCATCACAGCCTTCTTGCACTTACAAACACTGGACAGCACTGGATGCCTGGGTGGCACAGTTGGTTAAGTGCCCGACTTGATTTTGGCTCAGGTCATGATCTCAGGGTCATGGGATTGAGCCCTGTGTTGGGCTCCATGCTCATTGGGGTCTGCTTAAGATTCTCTCCCTCTCCCCACCCCCTGCACTCTCTCTGTCCCTCTCTCAAATAAGTCAATCTTTAAAAAAAAATTAAATCCAAAATAAGTAGACATAAATGATAAAGCTAATAGCAGAAATAGAAAATATGCAGAAAAATTAACACACTAAAAACGGATTTTTAAAAGGTTAATGAAATTGACAAATCCTTAGAAAAACTGACCAGGAAATAAAAAAAGAAAAATGAAATTTCCAGTATCAGGAATGAAGGGGGGGCATCACTGCAGATTTGGTAGGTATTAAAGGGATAACAAGTGACTTTAAACACCATTCTGTGAGGAAAATTGCACATCCATGTGGTTTTCCTGTAAATTGTATCAAAAATATAAGGAAGATATTTTGCCAAGGTTACACAAACTCTGAAAACAAAGAAGGAAACTTTTCCTAACTCATTCTACGAAGAAGCCAGCATTACTCTAGTACAAAAACGTAAAAAAATTTAAAGATTAATATCCCTCAGGAACATAGACACAAAAGTCTTTAATGACCATTTCAGGAAATCACCAGATATAAGAGGATAATCTAGCAGGACCACCTCTTGGGTGGGGTTTGTCCCAGGAATCAGGGTTGGTTTAACATTTAAAAAAAACAATCAGGGCGCCTGGGTGGCTCAGTCGTTAAGCGTCTGCCTTCGGCTCAGGTCACGATCCCAGGGTCCTGGGATCGAGTCCCACATCAGGCTCCCTGCTC